CCGCAAATTTATTACATGGCTCCATTAGAAATGTATTTACTTCTTGCTCAGCTGAAAATAAATTGGAACGTACCATTGGCAATCTAAATGATTAACACTACATTAAAAAACAGTTCAACTCAGCAATCACAAGCTACCAATTTCAGTATCTGTAGGAATTTTTTTCTAACAAAAATACTTATTTTAAAAAGCCCTGAACCACTTGACATGTATCATCACTGAAACGCACTGAACACCCATGCCACAATACTGCAGTGCAGCTTTCTAATACAAAGGTCATCAGTCCTCCAGCTCAACAGCCCGTGCAGCTATGCACATCCTCTTCTTCGGAGCAGACTATACAGTCCTTTTTCCTTATAGCACAGGATCCAGGTTGCTGTGTTTATAACATTACACCTATGTACAACCACGTCACATTATCGTAGAGCCCAGCACACAGACTAAGGTGGCCGTTACTAGCGGTACCTGCTGCTTATGGTGGTACATGACAGAAGTTTGGCTCCCTCGGCGTTCACGTCACAGAAATTCAAATGTGTGATCTCACTTTTGTTTCTAGTGAATTTTAGTCTTTCGAGTTAAACATGCCCTCATAAACACACAGTTGGTAGAGGCGTATCAAGAGCTGTGGAAGGAAGCACTATTCAGTGAAAAGGCCAAGTCAAGAATTACGTGGGAATCTACATGTAATGGTAGGTATGTAAATGTACCTATGCTCCCACGAAATGTGGAACACAAGCAGGAATCAGCAAATAAATATTAAGAAATTTAAACTAAAAAGACCCCACAATATAAAACGGGCTATGCTATCACATTTAACATTCTAACAGCTACAGCTTGAAACAGCAACTTCAATTTAAGAAAAAAATCTCACCTTTGCAAATTTACAGTTGCTTTAGATTGCTTTTAAAACAAAGTGAAGGGCACCAAAAGTCAATCCAATAAGAAGTTGTTACCATTTACTGCGATCATACACAAGCTAACAATGGATCAAACTGGACCTGAATGTTGTTGAATCAAGCAGAGATTTGACATTCAGATGCTTTATCAGCCATATAAATTTAACTATCTGCAAAAAGCTCTCTGAATTTGTCTCATCCCATTTCCTCATCCAGCTACTGTAACTCTCTGACTCTCAAGGCAAGTACCTGCCAATTTGCTTCAATGCCAGTCTTTTAATATTCTTGGTGCAGATAATGTACAAGAATGCTAGAGGTGTATGGGACCAGATTACTTCAACTGAAAGCAGCAGTGAGATTTTCTTCATATATATGAGCTGATCACCTTTAGTTACCCTTTGAAGTTAGTGAAGAGGAATACCTGCTTCAAGTACATGACGCCTCACATCCTAAAGATGCTTTCTTTAGGAGATGAATCATGTTTCAGATTACCTGTTTTTTTCCCAGTGACTATTCAGAGAAACTAGAATGAATAGCTCAGATGCAGGTATCTCAAATATGAAGGAAACAAGTTCCCAGTGAATAGGCCAAGTATTTTTAACAAACCATTCAAAAGTATTGAAGATTTTTATTTTTGAGTGCTCATAAACACACACACAACCCACATCTCAAAAGTTTAAATCCTAAGTATGAAATTAAATAACAGGAAACTTCATGTACATGGTATTGGTCTAAACATGAGAGAAACATACAATTAGGGAACTCCTTTGGAAGTTTTTGGTGAAAAGAGACTGTCATCCATCCAGCAGTCATTGTGAATATTTTTCTGACTCCATTCTGTGCATTGAATCATTCTGTAATCATTCTGTATTTCTCTCCTCAGAACTGTATTTGCACAAGCAATCTCTGAAAAAAAATGTATCCAGGTTTCTTAATTTCACTACAGAATCAAGCAGGCTAGCTGATAAGAAGGAAACTTTAATCTTCTGTCATTAGCAATGGTGGAAAGGTGGGGAACATGGGGAAAAAATCCAGCACGCAGGCTGGAAAGACAGACAATGTTTGTAACAACAGTTATGTACAAAACCACTTTTTCTTCACCTTTCTCTCTTCCAGGTTGTGTGTTCTGCACTACACCAGGAGTCAGTTACGAGGTGTGAAAAAACAAGCAAAAGGTTAACATTATAACCATTTGAATGAAACTCACTGTATTATTTGCACTCTCAAAACATTTCTGAAAAGAAAGTAAAAAAATATTTAGCATTCTTGAAAGTTTTAAGGAATTTTTTTATTAAAAAAGCAGTCTTGTTTATTGTTTCATTTGAACCCCATTCTGCCTCAACATTACGCTCAGACATAAGTGTATCATCCTTATTACCATCATACAAGTAATCACATTGAATTTCTATAGCACTGAAAATGATGTAGGACAAATAAACCCTCACAAAAATATATACAGGTAGGCAGAAAACTAATCAAGAAGAAATCATGTTTTCTGTATTGAAGAGTAAACACCATTTTCAAATACCAACAAAACATCCAATTTGTTGGCATGTCTCTTCCATCTAAGACTCTTGAGTAGAAAGACAAACTGACTTCCACAGAGGAATTCCTACAACAACTTTGGTTCATAACGACCTAGAGAGCATTCATACCCCATACATAATACTGATCTAGTGGATTTCTGTAAAACTAATACGGCAGGCAACACGAAAAACTGTATGTGTGAACTTCATGATGAGAATAATAATTTAAACTCAGTATGTCATATTCCAAATATACAGAAAAGACCTGATTATATTAAACACATTTATCTTCTGCTATAAACTAGCTCATCAGCCAGATCCCAGCTCTTTAATACCTCATGACTGAAGTAGCTAAGCATTCTCTGTATCTGATGAATAATAGGCTACGTATGGAAAGCCTTAAAAGTCTGCTTTTTGTACTGAAGGGTGTGTCTATTTCAGCATGTTTCAGATACAAAAGTTGGTACTGACTAAACTATGCTGGTTACCAGAAGATGACTAGCCATACTGGTGCAGCGTTCTGCTGGATCAGTACAGATACTTACCAAAGAGCATGTTTATATCCTGCAAATATATTCAGAAACTAGTTTCTGAAAATTTTGTCAAGAAATGTTAACAATTCATCAACTCAGTACCCTATATGAACTAATTAGTCCTCCTGAGAAACAGGCTATATTAGCAGGAGAGGAGCCCTGCAGTACCACGGATACAGGCCTCTAGTACATCAACTAAAATCAGTATGGCAACATACTATGTAATGTAGGCGTATTAATTCATTCAAAGCCAAATTTGTGGACAGCACCACACTGCCACAGCCTTGCTGGCTAGATTTATAGTCAGTCTGGCAAGAATATTACATTAAAGTAGCTGCACTATTTGTAGTACACAAACGAGCTTTGTCAGAAGATGCTTTGGTAGCTCTGCAGTATTGCAATGTGCTCGGTAGACACACTTGGTTTCTGAAACAACTTTCAAGAACAACTGTCATTTCCAAGCAAATTTATAATGTAAAGTAGCCTAGGTTCAAAACATAGTATAGATGTAGAATGGTTACATGGTGGTCAGCTGGCAAGGTCACGTGACATCTTGTCCTACAGCAGGCATTCCCTCTACACTTTAAATGGTTCCACACCCAGGCAAGTTGTGTATAGAGAACATTCCACAATCTCTATACAATCATCATTGGACAAATTAGGAAAGCTGCAAATACCGCATTGATAATTTTTTTCCTACAAGGAAGGACAGAGGGAAAGGATAAAGGAATATGAAAAGAGAGGTAAAGTTCCTCAGTTTTCACATCCAATAGCAATCTTCCAACCTTAAAGAAAAAAAACAACAAATAAATAGACATGTGACTTCTTCCTGAAGCAGGAAT